GGGCCCACGCTTTCCTTGAACTTCTTCTTGTTGCTAACATACCTGAAGAAACCCTTCTTGTTACTCTTAACATCTCTTGCTAACTGCAACTCCAGGTGTGGTTTGGCCTTCCTGATTTCACTCCTGCATGCCTGAGCAATATTTTTGTACTCCTCCCTGGTCATTTGTCCAATCTTCCACTTCTTGTAAGCTTCTTTTTTGTGTTTAAGATCAGCAAGGATTTCACTGTGAAGCCAAGCTGGTCGCCTGCCATATTTACTTTTCTTTCTACACATCAGGATGGTTTGTCCCTGTAACCTCAATAAGGATTCTTTAAAATACAGCCAGCTCTCCTGGACTCCTTTCCCCCTCATGTTATTCTCTCAGGGGATCCTGCCCATCAGTTCCCTGAGGGAGTCCAAGTCTCCTTTTCTGAAGTCCAGGGTCCATATTCTGCTGCTCTCCTTTCTTCCTTGTGTCAGGATCCTGAACTTGATCATCTCCTGGTCACTGCCTCCCAGGTTCCCATCCACCTTTGCTTCCCTTATTAATTCTTCCCAGTTTGTGAGCAGCAGGTCAAGAAGAGCTCTGCCCCTCATTGGTTTCTTCCAGCACTTGCACCAGGAAGTTGTCCCCTACACTTTCCAAAAACTTCCTGGATTGTCTGTGCACCACTGTATTGCTCTCCCAGCAGATATCAGGGTGATTGAAGTCTCCCATGAGAACCGGGGTGTGCGATCTAGTAACTTCTGCAAGTTGCCGGAAGAAAGCCTCGTCCACCTCATCCCCCTGATCTGGTGGTCTATAGCAGACTCCCACCAAGACATCACCCTTGTTTCTCACACTTCCAAACTTAATCCAGAGACTTTCAGGATTTTCTGCAGTTTCATACCGGAGCTCTGAGCAGTCATACTGCTCTTTTACATACAATGCAACTCCCCCACCTTTTCTGCCCTGCCTGTCCTTCCTGAACAGTTTATATCTATCCATGACAGTACTCCAGTCATGTGAGTTACCCCACCAAGTCTCTGTTGTTCCAATCACATCATAATTCCTTGACTGTGCCAGGACTTCCAGTTCTCCCTGCTTGTTTCCCAGGCTTCTTGCATTTGTGTATAGGCACTTAAGATAACTCACTGATTGTCCCTCTTTCTCAGTATGAGGCAAAAGCCCTCCCCTCTCATGCTCTCCTGCTTGTGCTTCTTCCCAGTATCCCACTTCCCCACTTACTTCAGCGTTTTGGTCTCCTTCCTCCCGGTGAACCTAGTTTAAAGCCCTCCTCACTAGGTTAGCCAGCCTGCTTGCGAAGATGCTCTTCCCGCTCTTCGTTAGGTGGAGCCCGTCTCTGTCTAGCACTCCTCCTTCTTGGAACACCATCCCATGGTCAAAGAATCCAAAGCCTTCTCTCCGACATCATCTGCGTAGCCATTCGTTGACTTCCACAATTCAACGGTCTCTACCTGGGCCTTTTCCTTCCACAGGGAGGATGGACAAGAACACCACTTGCACCTCAAACTCCTGTATCCTTCTTCCCAGAAACACGTAGTCTGCAGTGATCTGCTCAAGGTCATTCTTGGCAGTATCATGGGTGCCCACGTGGAGAAGCAGGAAGGGGTAGTGATCTGAGGGCTTGATGAGTCTCAGCAGTCTCTCCGTCACATCATGAATCCTAGCTCCTGGCAAGCAGCAGACTTCTTGGTTTTCCCAGTCGGGGCGGCAGATAGATGACTCAGTCCCTCTGAGGTGGGAGTCCCCGACCACCACCACCTGCCTCCTTTTCTTGGGAACGGTGGTCGTGGAACCCCCATCCCTAGGACAGTGCATCTCATGCCTTCCAATCGGCAGAGTCTCCTTCTGTTCCCTTCCGTCAGATGTATCATCTAGTCTAGTCCACTCTCTTCTGTCTGTTATTACTTGAAACCACTTAAATCCTACTTTTTATTTTTAATTAAATCACTTTTGTTTATTAGTAAACCCAGAGTAAGTAATTGATACCTGGGGGAGCAAACAGCTGTGCATATCTCTCTATCAGTGTTATAGAGGGCGGACAATTTATAAGTTTACCCTGTATAAGCTTTATACAGAATAAAACAGATTTATTTGGGGTTTGGATCCCACTGGAAGCTGGGCATCTGGGTGCTGGAGACAGGAGTACCTGCTGAGTGGTTTTCAGTTAAAGCCTGCAGCTTTGAGGGTGTGGTTCAGACCCTGGATCTGTGTTGCAGCAGGCTTGTGACTCTGGCTCAACAAGGCAGGGTTCTGGAGTCCCAAGCTGGCAGGGAAAATGAGCTCAGAGGTCATTTTAGCACATCAGGTGACACTCCCAAGGGGGCTCTGTGACCGAACCTGTCACACTAGGAGATGAGCTTTTTCATTTGAAGACAACCGTTCCAATGCTGTGAGTGTGGTTAACACTTGGGCCAATATTAAGGATTGAGTGGGGATGATGCAGGGGGAGTGAGGTTAGGAGATTGAGGAGGAGCAGATGGATGGAGATGGAGAGCAGGGTCCTGTGTGTATCTCTGGAGTGGGGCCAGGGAGAGGGGTGGGGCAGATGTGGCCTGAGAGTCAGGACCAGTCTTAGGGGTGGGCCATCTGGGCGACCACCCAGGGATGCCATGGTTAAAGGGGCACTGCATGGCAGCACAGAGAGGCACACTGCCGATCTAGAGTCAGAAACTGCTCCCGGCTGGCACAGAAGTGCTGTGTCCCATGTGGGGAGGCTCCCAGATTTCTCCCTGCTCCCTCCCTGCAGAGGAAGGAGGGACAGTGGTGATGTACAGATACTGCTCACGGTCACCATCCCCGCAATGGGGCTATGTGTGTGTGTGTGTGGGGAGGGGAGGGAGCGAGAGCGGAGCAACACCAAGCACTCCCTGCATCCAGGTCACTTTCCCCAGCTGTGCTGTGCTGTGAGGAGAACATCAGGAGCTGCTGCTTTCCTGCCCTCCTGTTATGCAGCCCGGGTGGGGAAAGTGACCTGGATGCAGGGAGCCCTGACTTTGCCCCCCCCCCCCAGAACCCCCGAGGGGTGCGCAGAGGAGCAGTGTTTGAAGGGGTGAGTGAGCGGCAATGCCAGGCGCTCCATGCATCCAGGTCAGTTTCCCCACGTGGGTGCAGGATTGGGGATGCAATGGTTAGGAGCACAGGAGGGGGTACAGTGTAGGGGTTAGGAGCGCAGGAGGGGGCGGGGAGCCTCAAAAGCCCACAGTGGCCAGGGGCAGTGTGCGGGGGCACTGTGCCCACGGGAACAAGGGTGTGTGTGTGTGTGTGCCAAAATACAAGTTTGCTCAGGGTGCCATTTTCCCTCAGGCAGCCCTACTGAGAGTGAAGCCCCACATGTCTCCTCGCTATGCCGCAGACCCCTCTCTCTTTCATTCTCTTGCTCTGTTTCTCCTTCACCCACGCGCTCATGCCATCCCTTTGATGCTGACTCAGTGGAATGGAAAGTCTATACCCTCTGCTAAGACCGGACACCAGGCACTGTTTTTGCTGAACAGGAGGAAAAACACCTTGCGCTTTAACTGTAATGTATTCTCCAACCTCTCCTCCTCTCCTTTCCTCTCTCCGTTACCCACTTCTCTGTTTCCCAATTCCTCCCTCCTGATCACTCCGCTGACAAAAAACAGAGAGAGAAAGAGATCCTCCAGCAGAGGAGAATTGTGCCCTGAGTCACCCTGTGCTCCCTGACCCCAGGGAGAGGCCCCGCCCACTCTGGTTAGTGGGGGATGTGTGCACAGAAGGGAGCACAGTCAGAAGTCACCAGAGAGGACAAATGCATGATTAAGTCAGATAGAGCCAAAACCAGTGGGTGCTGGAAAGTGTGAGCCACAAAAGGAGGGATTCTCTGAGGTGACAAGGGGGTCCCACGTGTGACAGGGATGGGAATCTATGAATCTCACTATGCAAAGTTCAGTTCTGTTCTCCCTGAACTTCTCAGCACCTACATGGGAGCTGGGAGAAGCCCCCATGTCACAGGACCTGAAGTTGGGTCTCCCCAAAACTAGACAGAGAGAGATCATTCCCGCCCTAGGATGCAGTGTCTTGCCATGCAACCGCAAAAGCACAGCAATCTTTTCTGCAGCCAATATGCAGCCTCCTCCCTCAGCTCCTCTTGGCCATCTCCCCTCCAGTGTGGTCCTGGGTTTTGGATCTACTACTACATTTGTCCTGGCTGAAACTCACTTTATTTCCCGGCCCCACCTCCCACGGGAGCTGGAACAATTCGTGTAGCCATTGAATCAAACTGTAAACCCTGTATATGATGGGAACCACTTCAAGCCAGGGGGTGTGGCAGTATCCCCAGCACCCCTAGTTCCAGCACCTGTGCCATCTCTAGTCTTTCTTAGTCCCTTTGGGTTATTTTCCTGTCCTTCCTGTTGTTTGCAGCTCCTCATTTAGTGTCCCCCTGTGAATTGGAAATACAGAAAAAGAGAGCCTATATTTGAGAAAGTAAAAGAAAAAATGGAAAGAGGAACAAGGCATTCTGAAAAGACTAAAACAATTAATTGACAGAAACAGTGAGAGGCGGAAAGATCAAACCAAAAAAGGTAAGAGATGAAAGAAAAACATGAAGGGCACTTGCTGGGAAGTGTCTTCTACAAATTTTCCGCTGTCTGGGTAGAAGCGAAACTGTGAAGAAAACAACAGAAACCCAGAGAGAGAATTTCCACTAAAAGATGCTTAGAACACGATCTCTGACTCCTTCTTCCTCTGTCTCCATCTCTTTCTGCACGTGCCTCAGTCTGATGCTGGTTTCTTGGCTGTGACGCATCTTCTCAGCGCTGTGAGGAAATTAGCTGCCCACCCGCATTATAAGGGCATCTAGGGAAAGGCTTTGATCAGAACGAGAGAGATAGTGAGCGAGAGAGCAAGTGAACGAGAGAACCTGACGACCCACTCACCTGCCCCCTCCTTTGTCCAGTCCATGCCTTGTTCTCACTCGTCCCTTGAAGCTTTGGATCCATTCTGGTGGTGAACTGAGTGTGGAGACACATCCCCTTTGTCTCCTTGATGCCACCATGACATTGGCATTCATGCCACTGTCTCTCGCCCTCATGCTGCTGGTGACCAATGGTAAGGGGGGCTGAGTATTTTTGGTGGTGGAGGGTAGTTGCACTGGGGACATTTGGGATTTACTTGGTCCACAGGATTTTAGCAATTCAAAGCTGAACTCTTGGCAGATCTTGCTTTCCTGACCCTTCAGTGTTCCCCTTATCCCGATATTGCTCCCCAGGCCTCTTCCATCCTCCTTGGCAGGGTCCTCTCAGGACAGGAAAAAAATGTCTCCACCCCCATTTCTAAACCTCCCCCCTGCTCAGTTCTCTGTCTTGTTGCAGCCAGCAGTACTTCCCCTGGAGCAGCAAAGGAGCAGAGGGGGGAGCAGAGGGTGTGGGCCAAAGTGGGGGACCTGGTTGTGCTCCCCTGTCACCTGAGTCCTCAGGAGCTGCAGAGCAGCTGGAAGCAGCTGTATGAGAAGACAGCCGTCCGCTGGGAGCGGCATGGGGAAAGGTAATTCAGGCTGTGAGGGGGTGGTGGTGCTGTGCTTTTTGATTCCTTTCCTATTTCTTCACCTTTCCCTCATTCTTTCTTCTCCTCTTCCACAGTCTTTGATTCCCATCCTCTCTCCCCTGATGTGATCTTTCTCCCTCTCGCTGCCTTTCTTCCCTGCTCTTTCTCTGCTCCTTTCCCCATCCTCTCCCTCTCCTAGCACTAACTCATTCCCCCTGCCCATATCCCCAGCTCCCACAAAGAGCCCCACATGGTGCTGGAGGTGGAGTACAGTGGTCTCCTGAAGACAGCCCGATCCATGATGCCCCGAGCCTCAGTCAGGGAAACCAGCTTCCGCCAGGGGGACTTCTCCCTCTGGATTGAGCCACTACTGAATGATGATGCAGGCCATTACGAGGCACTGGTGAGATATGGCAAGGAGACTCGGCGCTGCCAGCTGGAGCTGGGCATGGTGACAGGTACGAGAAGTTGGAGCCCAACAGGGATCCCTGGAACAGCAGGGTATTGTCAGTTAGGACAAAAAGTTCTGGCAGGGGAGCCCAGGACTGGAACAGCAGGTTAGAAAATGAGAAGCAGCCTCTTGAGATTAGTCAACTCCCCTGTCTTCATCCCATGGGATGAGAGCTGCAGAGAGGGAAATCTCTAGGTAATAAACACAAGGAAAATGGGGAGATCAAGGACAGGTTGATTGTCACTTCAATGCCCTGTAGAGAGGGGCTGGGAGCTCCAAAGCGGGAATGGTTTTAGGACTCCCCTGTGACATTAACTTCTCTTTTCCCTTCTTCTCCGCAGTGACTGTCAATCCCCCAGGCCTGCTGGTGGAAACGGAGCCTCTCTTGCTACTCTGTAACTCCAGTCATCCGGCTAAGCTTGTGGGGATGCGCTGGTTCCATAAGGGCAGCCTGGTCCCCGTCTCTGGCAGGTTCCGTTCCCGCTATGGGGCTCTATCCATCTCTAGGCCAACTGTGAGTGATTCAGGGCCCTGGCGCTGCGAACTCACATACTCAAATGATGAGAAAGTTTCTGCCACATTCAACCTTCAAATTCTAGGTAACTCTGGCTTCCAACTCACCCTCTCAGCTCCCAGAGATCTCTGGCCTCTCACAATAGCCTCCTCCTCTCCAACTCCTGCCCTATCATGAGTAGCCTCCTGGGATCTCTTTGCTTCCCTCCCTGCTTTCCCAGTCATGGTTTCCCTCTGTCCCAGCATCCCCTCCCCACAGGGGGTGGTAACCTCCCCTTCTGTTGCAGTTCTGTGGACCTCATACAATCTAATGTTGCCCTACACTCTTTGTTTCCTCCAGGTTTTGCTGGCCCAGCCTCTCCTGTAGTCTATGCTGCAGTAGGATCTGCCACCAACCTTCCCTGCCTCCTGAACCGAGACCCTAGTGCCTCCAGCATTCTAGGGGTGTCAGCCCACTGGAGCCGTCTTGCAGGAGGGGATCTGGAAATACGGGGCATCTCCAAGAATGGAAGCAATGGGAGCTTCACCCTCCATCTCCCTGAGGTGGGACCAGGGGATGCAGGGCAATACTGCTGTGCTGTCTCTATCCATGGCACGACCATCACTAGGGATGTGACCTTGGCAGTGATGACAGGTGAGCAAGGGAAGCCCAGAGGATGCCAAGGGGACTCTTTCCCTCCAGTGGCTTTCACTGGCTTGGAGAAAATCTCCTTGCACACCAATGTGGTGAGTTTGGGATGTTCTCAGCCTGTCCAGCCTCCCCATGCGGGGAGACCCTGTGTCTCAGGTCAGGCATTTAGCTGCACAGGAGTGGAGTCTCTCTTTCCACAGGATGCTGTGCCATAGGGAGGTTTCTCATGGTGGTTCCAGTATTTTTCTTTTAGAAATCTGCCTTAAAGTAGGAAAATGAAAGAGAGAGAGAGAGAGAAGGGGGAAGCCAGGGAGTCAATGAGAGAAGGTGTGTGAGAGAGAGAGTGAAAAAGGAGGAACGTGACAGAGAGAAAGGAGGTGCTGAAGGGGTGAGGCAGGAAGAGGCTCTCCTTTTTTTGCTGAGGGTATTTCTGTTTCCCTCCCCCACAGTCACCCCAAGCATCAAAGGGCCAGTCGCTGAAGGCTCTCGTCTGCTGCTTATCTGCAGCCTCACCCACCCCAGGGGGCACGAGCACTTTCAGTGGAGGCAGCTGAGCTCAGGCCTCAGCAATAGGAGCTCATTTGAGGCCACTCTCAGGAGCCCAGGGGTCCAGCGCTACTATCTGGGTTCCACCCTGGAACTGACCCGTGTGTCCCAGGAGGATATTGGCACCTGGGAGTGCAGTGTCCATAGCTCAGAAGGGAGGCTGGGAGCTGTGGAATATGAGCTGTATATTACAGGTACCGTCTCCCCTGTGCCCCATTTCCTCCACCCCACCCCACCCCACTTCCATCTCCCTGTGCCCCAAGACTTCTGCTCCACTTGACCCACTTGACCAGCCAACATTTTTCAAACCTCATCCACACCCCGAACCAGTCCCAACCCCCCCCCCCCCGTTTCACCCTCCTTTCTAACTGTGATTTCCCCTTACAGGTGCCCAGCTCTCTGGTCCTCATACCATTCTGGATGGGCAGGTCTCTTTTGGCCTTATCCTTGTCCTCTTCCTCCTGCTTGTGGCCTCCATCCTGGCTTTGGTCCTGCGGAACCAAAGGGTGAGTCAGTCCATTGCTCTGTCTATGTCCATCTGTCTTCTCTCTCAAAGGCCATTCATTCCTCCTTGGGCAGAGCCGTCAAAGAAGTGTCTGAGTAGCATGACAAAGGGAGAGTGAATGGGAGAGCTGAGAGGGAAGAACCAGGGGGGAAAGGGCTGTGATTGAGCTCATCTAAGCCTGACAGCCCTGCCTCGGGTTGGGGCTGTGTGTGCAGGGCAAAGAGGCTACATTGGGTAGCCTGCCAGCTCTGCCCTGGTCGTATGCAGTATGTACTGGGAATATAGGAACTGCCAGGCTGGATCAGCCCAGTGGACCTGCTAGCCAAGTGCCCTGTCTCTGACAGTGGCCAAGTGCCAGATACCTCAGAGGAAGGGGCAAAATACCCTCTAGTGGACAATTATAGAATAACCTGCCCACGGAGGAAGTTTTCTCTTAACTCCTGTCAGTCTGAGGTCCTCTTGTGCCTTAAAGGATGAGGGTTTATGTCCCTTCCAAACTATTGTGGTTGTACTTTTTCTTTTTCATAATCTGACCTAATGTAATTGTGGATGTTCTCAATTCCCAAATAGATTCATAGATTCCAAGGCCAGAAGGGACCACTGTGATCATCTAGTCTGACCTCCTGTATAACGCAGGCCATAGAACTTTCCAAGATACTTCCTGAAGCAGATCTTTTAGAAAAACATCCAATCTTGATTTAAAAATTGCCAGTGATGGAGAATCCACCACGACCCTTAGTAAATTGTTCCAGTGTATGTAAATGCCCAATACCTTTTTGAATCTTGCTAAGCTCTTGGCCTCCACATTATCCTGGGGCAGTGAGTTCCAGGGGCTCATTATGCAAGGTGTAAAAACTGTTCCCTTTTATCCATTTTGAAATTGCAAGCTTTCAATTTTACTGATCATCTCTTTGTTCTGTGCTATGATAAATTCATCCTGACTGACTTTCTCACCCAGTTAGAATTTTGTTTACCTCTAGTATGTCCCTTCTTATTTCTCTTGTCTCTGAACAAAACAAACACCGTCTCTTTTCACACAGAAATCTTTCAAGGCCTCACATCGTTTTCATCACTCATATCTGAATCCTCTCTGTTTTACTATGACTTTTTATAGAGAGGGTAACCGGAGATGAACACAGTGTTCCAGATGAGGTCTTCTCACTAATTTACATAGCGACATGGGAATAGCGACATGGGAATAGCTAACATTTTGTTGGCTTTTTAACTACTGCTACCTGGTGAGCAGAGATCTTCAATTATACAATAATGTCTAGGTCTTTTTCCCTAAGTGGTTATGGTTCATTTAAAACCTAATAATTTGTTGGAGTTCAGATGATTGCTTTCAATGTGCATTACCTTGCATTTGCCTATACCAGCAGTCCCCAAACTATTGAGGGTCGCACACTCCCCTTACCCTGTCTGCCCCCAGGAGCCGGGGCCAGGAGTGGGGCTGTGGTTTGGGGCGGGGGGACACAGACAGGGGTAAGGGGGCCAAGACTGGGGCCACAGCTGGGGGTGGGCCTGAGGCTGGGAGTGGGGCCATGGCCAGGGGCCGAGGCTGGAAGTGGAGCCATGCTGAGGCTGGGGACGGGGCCAGGTACAGGTCCATGAGTGGGACCAGAGCAGAGCTGGGGGCAGGGCAGGGAAGGGCTGGGTGGTGCTCCCTCCCTACAGCCCTAGGGGCTGGTCCGGGCCCTGCCGTGCCCCCCCTGAACTTTCCTCCACACCATAGGCGGCAGGTATAATAGACTGGGGAAGGCTGTGCTTCCCCAAACAGCCCCGCTTGTGGCCCCGCTCATGCTCCAGCCCGAGGCCCCCTCCTGCTTGCCCTTCCCCCTTGATCTCAGCCCAGGCAGGCTGCTCCTTTTCCAGGGAGCTTGACGGGGCTGTGACTAGGGTGGCTGGGACTTGGGGTGACTTGTGGCTGGGGCTGCACGGCACTGGGGGGAGCCCCGGTGCTGGGGCTGCGGTGGCCAGTGCTCTGGGGCTGGGGGTGCTGGAGCTGCATCGCCCAGTGCTGGGGGGTGGGTGGGGGGGGCTGTGTGCTGCCCACCTGGTGCTCTGGGCTTGTGGCGGGGGCGCCATCCGTCCAGTGCTCCAGGACTGGGGGGTGGGGGGACGCGCAATGCCCTCCCACCCAGTGCTCCAGGGCTGGAGGTGCTTGGGCAGCCTGGGGCCAGGGTGGGAGGGACTAGAGGTCATGCCGGGGGGGGCCACTGGGCTTTGGTGGGGGAAGGGGCTGAGAGGGGCAGGGCCTCAGGTGGAAGGGATGGGCCTGGCCAGGGGCTAGCCTCCTGAAGCCCATGGTTCACCCACTGCCCATGCTCCACGCCCCCCTAGGGGGCGCACCCCACATTTTGGGGACCTCTGGTCTACACTGAGTTTCATCTGCCATTGCGATGTCCATTCATCTAGCTTTGATTCATAGGTTCATAGATTCCAAGGCCAGAAGAGACCATTGTCATAAGCTAGTCTGACCTTGTGTATAACATAGGCCATAGAACTTCCCCAGCCTAATTCCTGTTTGGACTAGAGCAGATCTTTTAGAAAAAAAATCCAATCTTGATTTTAAAATTGCCCATGACGGAGAATCTACTACAACTCTGTGCTAGCTCTCACAGTCTTCTCCAGTGTTGTTTAACTTAAATAATGTTGTGCTATGTGCATATTTTGCTACTTCACTGCTCATCCCCTTTTCCAGACTAGGTAAAGTTTTAAAATCACTGAAGGACCCAGGATCTTAAGTTCCCTTTTCAAAAGTGATTTGGGTCCTTAGGAAACTAAGGCTTATTGCACTTCAATGGGCCTTAAGTGCATAAAAATTGCCAAGTTGCTTCTGACAATGAGACTTCCAGGCTCCTAAGTAGGGTTCGTTGAAAATTTGTTTTTTGACTACATTAAATTTTTTGCAAAAAAGTTCCTTTTTCAAAAACTTTTGACTTGTCACTGAGAACCCAAAATCCAAAATTTGGATTTGGACTTGCCAAAAGTGTGCCTCATGGGAGTTGTTGTTTGGGTGCCTCATGCCCCCATTCTTCTCTATGGGCCAAGTTCTGCAACCAGACTACATCTTCCATGATGCACCATGGCTGTAGAACTCCTATGATGTACCACAGTGGCTCAACAAGAGGAGAGATGTAGACTGACCAGGCTGCCTGGCTCATAAAGGAGAATGTGAGCATGGGGGATCCAAGCCACAAATCCCATGAGTCACTGTGTGTTTGGCCAAAAATGTTTAGGTTTTGATTTCTACCAAGAAGTCATAATTTTCTGTGGGGGATGCCCCCATTTTCTGGCCAGCTGTACTCCTAAGTCTTTTAGGGACTTAAAAAAATTGTACACGTATAAACATGGTAAACACCTGTCCTAGTACAGAACCTTGCGGCACACTACTATTAACCTTTAGCCATGATGAAAATGTATTATTTATTCCTGCTTTCTCTCTGTTCGCCGGTTTCTGATCCATGATAAAACTTAACCTTTCACACCATGTTACTTAATTCCTTAACAGCATCTCAGAAGGGACTTTGTCAAAGTCTTCTGAAATCCCCCCCAAAATCATGACAACTGAGTCATTCTTTATTCACAATATTGCTGATGCATTCAGAGAATTCTAATAAATTAGAGTGGCATGATTTTCCTTTGCAGGCACTAATTTGTAGCTATCAGATCATGTTTTTCTAAGGTTTTTATAGTGCTCTAATTATTGTTTCAACTAATTTTCCTGTTCTTCGGTAATTTTCTTGCTGCAGCTTTTCTGGGGCTAGGTCAGACTTACTGATGTGTAATTATCAGGATCAATGTACAACATTTGTCAATGTACACTTGCTGATTTTAATGAGGCTTCATATTCTTGTTAGCTGCCTCAGACCCAGGTTCCATCCACTCCTGGTGACTTGTCACTCTTTTAATTTATCAGTTTGTTCCAGGATCTCCTTTTTTCAGACTTCAATCTCTCGCAGTGCCTCAGCTTTGGCACCACTAAAGAGCAGGTCTTTGTTAGGTGTCCCCACAACATCCTCAGTGGTCAAAGACTCACGCAAGGAAATCACATTTCTTCAGGGCAAACTACTTACATTGCAAATTCCTCCTCTAATTGCTCTCCTGGTGGTCCAGGGGACCCAATTATTCTCTCATAGACTTCTTGATTTTTCTATACTTTACTGGGGCTATGTCTACACTATCGCGGTAAGTCAACCTACGTTACACAAGAGAAGCTACGTGAATAACTAAGCTGGAGTTGATGTACCTTAGGTCGAGTTACCATGGGGTCTACATTGCTGGGGGTCAACAGGAGAAACTCTCCCATCGACTTACCTTATTCTTGTCATCGGGGTGGAGTACAGGGGTTGACTGGAGAGTGATCTGCTGTCGATTTGGCGGGTCTTCACTAGACCCACTAAATTGACTGCCAGTGGATTGATCTCAGAGCGTTGATCCCAGATATAGTGTAGATGTAGCCTGGTTCTCAAACTCTTCAATACCACAACCTCTTTTTCTATAATGGGGACCGCTCCCATCTAGTAGGGATATCCCTCCCAATTTGCAATATAGAAAGGACAAGCCCCTGTCCCCTGTTCATCACCCACCTGGAGGTCACAAACCTCAAACTGAGAGCCCATGGTACACTTGAAGAGTAACACCCCAGAGTGTACTTCAACAGGGGTGATGCTGTGAACCTTTCAATACTATTAGAGCTATGTATCCACAGAATAGTGCTCCTGAGTGTATTTTGAATGATTCAAGGTCTGGAAAACCTGTCTCACCATGAAAAACTCAAGAAGCTCAATCTATTTAGTTTATCCAAGAGAAGTTAATAGGTGAATTGATCACCGGCTACAAGTATCTACACAGGGAAGAGATTTCTGATACTAGACAGCTCTTTAATCTAGCAGAAAAAGTCATAGTAAGGTCCAATGTCTAGGAGTTGAAGCTAGATAAATACAGATTAGAAATAAGATGCAAACTTTTAGCAGCAACTGTAATTAACCATTGGAACAATTTACCAAGGGTTACGGTGGATTCTTCATCACTTGGAGTCTTTCAATCAAGACTGGATGTCTTTCTAAAAGAAACACTTGAACTCAACCAGAAGTTATGGGCTTGATGCAGAAACTCCTGGGTGGGTTCTCTGGGTGGGTTTACACAGGAGGTTAGACTAGATCATCATAATGGCTCTTTGTGGCCTTAAAATCTATGAAAGGAGCCACGTTAAAGGCATAACTCAACTGCACAAAGCCTAATATCAAGCCAGTATTCTCTACAGGAAAGGGAACATGATTGTGGAGCATGACTCCTGGGTTCTTTTCTCAGCTCTAGGAGATGACTGGGGTATAGTAGTTACACCAAAGGAAACTGAGAGTCAGGTTTCCTGAATCCTATTTTTGGTTGTGAGAAAGAAGGGTGTAGTGGGTTAGAGCAGGAAGAATTAGAAATCAGGACTCTCAGGGTTCTCTCTGTGACGTTCTAGGCCTCTGAGGGATAAGACCTACGGTGGCTGCTCAGACCCAGGGTCCAGATGTAAGCATCATGCTGGGGCAGGATGGAGCCCATGCTAGGTCCATTCCCCAATCATCTCTTCTTTTTCCCTTTCAGATATTCTCCCCAGCCTTCCCAGCACTGGAGCGGGTGGTTACCGCCCCCACACCAGGGAATGCAGGGAAGGATGAAGGCCAGGAAGGGAAGAGCCTGCAGACAGAGTGCTGATGGAAGAGAAGGCACAAAGGTCAATTGGAATGGCAAGCACTTCAATGGGAAAACAAGACTGTGTTACACAGCTGGGGGATGGGAACCATGCAGACTTGTCCAGAGGGCATGGAGGTCACATGGACACAGCATGGGGACCATGCCACTGCAGAGGGGGTGGGAGTCATATGACAAAAAGGAGATGGGTGTCACCTGGGTGCAGGAAGGTTGGGGGGGTGGGTGGGGCTGTTGTACTGGTTTCTGAGCTTCCTTTTTGGAGCTGAAGGACTCCAGTGTCCATAACCTGCTTCACTTCCACTTGTTTCTCCCTCACTCCCTTGTTCTTTCTCTTTCACACCCTCTGCCCTCTGTCTCCCTCTCTCAGCCTTGCTCCTTCCTTGGAGGGGTGTGAGTGGTCTTTAGCAGATGGGGAGATTGGCAGAGACCTGGCTCCCCTTTGCCCACAGGGAATTTAACTCCCCGCTGCTGACTTCCCTCTCTGTATCCCATAAGCACCCTGCTCTGGCACACATTCGCTGGCACAGCAGATCCTTCAGCCAGAGATATTGCATAGTTGAGTTTGTTATAGTTTATTAGCACTCAGAAGAAAATGTCCTTCAATAAAACCCCCCCACTGGAAACCCTTTGGTCTCTGTGTGCATTTGGGGTGAAATGGGCCTGTCTAGCACATTGTTTGCATCTGGTTGTCTGTGTGAAGCAGCTTCCCTGAAATCTACCCCCCCCCCCGGATTTCACTTTTATTTTTGTTTTGCTGGTGTAGATCATTAGTTTCTGGACTTTCAGGAGGGAAAATGAAATGGCACCAGAGAAGGAAAAGTTACACGCTCTGTCCGTCCCTTTCTCTCAGTTTCAGTGTCTCTCTCTTTTTTCTGCCTGTCTCTCTCTGTGCCATTCACTCTCTTTCTTTCATTTTCTCTCTCTCCCCACTCTGTCTTTCTGATGAGACATCAACGCAAGAGATCCTGACCACTCATGGTCATTAAACATCCCTGTCATTTCCCCCCAGTTTGGGGCATTAACCAGTCAAATGCCCCATACCAGGATCCAGGAAGAGTGCTGGCCAAATCCCTGCTGAGTGCACCCATTTCACCACCCTAAATCCCACTGTGATCTCGCTGTATACAGAACTCCCCTTTGCTTCCTGTCCCAAATTATTGTGTAGTGCTGCTGTGTGGCTGTTAAACAACTGCTGTGTCCTACCCCAGAGGTAGCTGCATTAAGTATTGTCATTACTGCAGGCTTTCACTTTTTGTAGCTTGTGTAGGCTGAATACATTGCACTCACCAGGGGCTCTTTGCATCCCCCATTCTCTACCCCCAGTTCCGTGTGCCACTGTCCCATTCCCCTCTATTTCAGGAATTCTCTATAACATCACCCCCCTGGCTTCATGCCAGGGGTTCTGTTTGACACCCCCTCCCCATTTCTAGGATACTCCATTTTCTACCATAGAATCATAGAATCATAGAATCATAGAATATAAGGGTTGGAAGGGACCCCAGAAGGTCATCTAGTCCAACCCCCTGCTCGAAGCAGGACCAATTCCCAGTTAAATCATCCCAGCCAGGGCTTTGTCAAGCCTGACCTTAAAAACCTCTAAGGAAGGAGATTCTACCACCTCCCTAGGTAACGCATTCCAGTGTTTCACCACCCTCTTAGTGAAAAAGTTTTTCCTAATATCCAATCTAAACCTCCCCCACTGCAGCTTGAGACCATTACTCCTCGTTCTGTCATCTGCTACCATTGAGAACAGTCTAGAGCCATAGAATCATAGAATCATAGAATATAAGGGTTGGAAGGGACCCCAGAAGGTCATCTAGTCCAACCCCCTGCTCGAAGCAGGACCAATTCCCAGTTAAATCATCCCAGCCAGGGCTTTGTCAAGCCTGACCTTAAAAACCTCTAAGGAAGGAGATTCTACCACCTCCCTAGGTAACGCATTCCAGTGTTTCACCACCCAACTAGTGAAAAAGTTTTTCCTAATATCCAATCTAAACCTCCCCCACTGCAGCTTGAGACCATTACTCCTCATTCTGTCATCTGATACCATTGAGAACAGTCTAGAGCCATCCTCTTTGGAACCCCCTTTCAGGTAGTTGAAAGCAGCTATCAAATCCCCCCTCATTCTTCTCTTCTGCAGGCTAAACAATCCCAGCTCCCTCAGCCTCTCCTCATAACTCATGTGTTCCAGACCCCTAATCATTTTTGTTGCCCTTCGCTGGACTCTCTCCAATTTATCCACATCCTTCTTGAACTGTGGGGCCCAAAACTGGACACAGTACTCCAGATGAGGCCTCACCAATGTCGAATAGAGGGGAACGACCACGTCCCTCGATCTGCTCGCTATGCCCCTACTTATACATCCCAAAATGCCATTGGCCTTCTTGGCAACAAGGGCACACTGCTGACTCATATCCAGCTTCTCGTCCACTGTCACCCCTAGGTCCTTTTCCGCAGAACTGCTGCCTAGCCATTCGGTCCCTAGTCTGTAGCTGTGCATTGGGTTCTTCCATCCTAAGTGCAGGACCCTGCACTTATCCTTATTGAACCTCATCAGATTTCTTTTGGCCCAATCCTCCAATTTGTCTAGGTCCTTCTGTATCCTATCCCTCCCCTCCAGCGTATCTACCACTCCTCCCAGTTTAGTATCATCCGCAAATTTGCTGAGAGTGCAATCCACACCATCCTCCAGATCATTTATGAAGATACTGAACAAAACCGGCCCCAGGACCGACCCTTGGGGCACTCCACTTGATACCGGCTGCCAACTAGACATGGAGCCATTGATCACTACCCGTTGAGCCCGACAATCTAGCCAGCTTTCTACCCACCTTGTAGTGCATTCATCCAGCCCATACTTCCTTAACTTGCTGACAAGAATACTGTGGGAGACCATGTCAAAAGCTTTGCTAAAGTCAAGAAACAATACATCCACTGCTTTCCCTTCATCCACAGAACCAGTAATCTCATCATAGAAGGTGATTAGATTAGTCAGGCATGACCTTCCCTTGGTGAATCCATGCTGGCTGTTCCTGATCACTTTCCTCTCATGCAAGTGCTTCAGGATTGATTCTTTGAGGACCTGCTCCATGATTTTTCCAGGGACTGAAGTGAGGCTGACTGGCCTGTAGTTCCCAGGATCCTCCTTCTTCCCTTTTTTAAAGATTGGCACTACATTAGCCTTTTTCCAGTCATCCGGGACTTCCCCGGTTCGCCACGAGTTTTCAAAGATAATGGCCAATGGCTCTGCAATCACAGCCGCCAGTTCCTTCAGCACTCTCGGATGCAACTCGTCCGGCCCCATGGACTTGTGCACGTCCAGCTTTTCTAAATAGTCCCTAACCACCTCTATCTCCACAGAGGGCTGTCCATCTCTTCCCCATTTTGTGATGCCCAGCATAGCAGTCTGGGAGCTGACCTTGTTAGTGAAAACAGAGGCAAAAAAAGCATTGAGTACATTAGCTTTTTCCACATCCTCTGTCACTAGTTTGCCTCCCTCATTCAGTAAGGGGCCCACACATTCCTTGGCTTTCTTCTTGTTGCCAACATACCTGAAGAAACCCTTCTTGTTACTCTTGACATCTCTGGCTAGCTGCAGCTCCAGGTGCGATTTGGCCCTCCTGATAACATTCCTACATGCCCAAGCAATATTTTTATACTCTTCCCTGGTCATATGTCCAACCTTCCACTTCTTGTAAGCTTCTTTTTTATGTTTAAGATCCGCTAAGATTTCACCATTAAGCCAAGCTGGTCGCCTGCCATATTTACTATTCTTTCGACTCATCGGGATGGTTTGTCCCTGTAACCTCAACAGGGATTCCTTGAAATACAGCCAGCTCTCCTGAACTCCTTTCCCCTTCAAGTTAGTCCCCCAGGGGATCCTGGCCATCCGTTCCCTGAGGGAGTCGAAGTCTGCTTTCCTGAAGTCCAGGGTCCGTATCGTGCTGCTTACCTTTCTTCCCTGTGTCAGGATCCTGAACTCAACCAACTCATGGTCACTGCCTCCCAGATTCCCATCCACTTTTGCTTCCCCCACTAATTCTACCCGGTTTGTGAGCAGCAGGGCATGCCAGGGCATCTGTGTCCCCTCTGTCCCTCCTACCCCTTACCATTGTCCCCCAGTCTCCCTATCATGCCAGGAGCTTTGTGTGCCTCCCTTGTCCCCTTCCTTGCCTGTTACAGAAAAGTAAGGCTTTTGACACAGTCCCACATGACATTCTCATAAGCAAACTAAGGAAATGGGGGTCTGGATGGAATTACTATAATGTGGGTGCACAACTGGTTGAAAGAACATACTCAAAGAGTAGTTATCAGTGGTTCACTGTCAAACTGGGAGGGCACATCTAGTGGGGTCCCAGAGAGGTCAGTCCTCGCTCCAGCACCAATGTTCCCTCTAATTTTTTCCATCCATGTGCGGAATAAACTTTGTTATGTGCACCAAGGTAATGTGTGCATGTGCATCACCAGTAGAAACAAAAAACCTAGATATAATCAGTGGTGAGCTAGAGCCAGTTCACACCGGTTCACGCAAACCGGTTGTTAAATTTTGAAGCCGGTTTAGAACTGGTTGTTAAAGGGGTGGGCAAACTCCGGCCCGCGGGACCATCCTGTCCAGCCCACCTGAGCTCTCGGCTGGGGAGGCTCCCCTGAGAATCCCTTTTAAATTTTTACTCACCCAGCAGTGCTCCGGGACTTCGGCGGCGGGTCCTTCAGTGCCGCCAAAGACCCGGAATGACTGAAGGACCTGTCGCCGAAGTGCCGCCGAAGACCCAAAGCGACTGAAGGAACCGATTCTTCAGCTTTTGGCAGCTCATCACTGGATATAATATATATGTATATTTTTAAAGTTACCATAGGGATAGTTACTCCAGACAGGACAGGTTAGGCATTTGAGAACTCACTACTCAAAGAATTAAATTTAAGTGTGAGAGAGAAATAAAAATTATGAAATGCATAGACCAGTCAAAACACTAAAAGAACACACTTTGAAAGAATAAAATTACAGAGAATATATGTGCATTGCAGGAAGTACCAAGAAGTAACAACAACAATAATACAAGTATCTGATGGGAGGTGAATGTGAAAGAGACTCTGTGTGTGTGTGTGTGTGTGTGTGAGAGAGAGAGAGAGAGAGAGAC